AAAATGCTGTGGAATTTCTTTGAAAATAAAAATATACTAGCAATTTTTTATTAATGGTTTATTCAAGTGTGCAAAATATAATGTACAGAAAGATGTCCGTATACATTGAAAAGTAAGCAACCGACAACCTGTATAAAAGAGGGGCTGTGATTGGCTGTTACTTACGCGAGATTTGAACGAGACTTACATAGTCGTCGGATCAGATGTAGGTAGGGCGGAATTAAAAAAAATCGAAATCAAAGTAAAATAATAAAATAAAAGGGCATTAATAACAAAAGTAATAAAAAATAAAATTAAAATAAGTTTATAGCTAAAATAATTAAAGCCTGTATACTACATCAGATTTTAATCAGATTGTGACAAAATATACAATATAGGTGAAATATTTGACACATTTTTATTTATTTTTAGATAGATTTTTTGTTAATTTTTTCAAACAAAACCATAATTTCTTATTATCTATAGGGCTTGATCAAAATTCAGGTTTATTTTGTGAAAGGTGACAAAAATTGACCAGTGAATTAAACAAAGATTTCTAGCAATAAACTTACTTCATGGAAGCCATGTTTCGCTAAAATCTGTCGTATAAGCCTGCATTCTGTCTTCACCATTTTGTACGCTAAGTGGTGCTTTTCTGCAATAGATAAGAGATAACAGAAACACTTATACAGTAGAAATAAGTAAAGTCTCTTAACAGAAACAAAGATACATACAGAAATGAATCACTGACCTCCCATGTGATAGAGACCTTTGACTTTAGTAAACAGGGCTTCAGCTTTAAAAGATACAATTGGTAATTTCCTTCCTGGACCGGACCAAATCAGATGAGAATCATTACTGAAAAAAAATGAAAAGAAAGTATATAAATGAAAGTATGTGCACCCATTTTTCAGTAGATGAATTGCTACATAACTGTATGCTACTTTACATAACTATAACCGTATACCAGTTGTCTATTTTGAATTAATAAATATTTGTGTACTAATACTGATAAACAAATATGCAATGTACTACAAAATGTATGTGCCAGTTGGAAGAATAATATACTAATTAATTGGAAATAAAAGCATTAGCAATACATGTTTTTAGCAATTATCCATCTAAGTACTCACTAATATTAGCTAATCATGTAATGATTACTACATGTATAATGTTCTGCAATGAGAGGTGATCATCATCATTAACTTATAATTATGAAATAAATCAATTACTCTTCCCACATAAATACATAGCAAAGCTAAGCAATGTTAAATTCCATAGAGAGAAAGATCACAGCTGTATATCGCGTTTAAATCTGTAGCTGTTTAGCAGCAAATATAATTTTTTTACACAGACAGCTCAGCTGATTAACATGTCAAATTTAATTCCCTTTCAGAGAGCTTGGCTTTTTAGTATCGCATTAAAGTGAAATTAAATCTGTAGCTATTTAGCATCAAAAATAATTTCTACACAGACAGCTCAGCTGATTAACATGTCACATTAAATTGCTTTCCAGAGACTGGCTGGGACATTCAATTTACTGAGACATGCATTAATGATATATACAAACATTGATATTGATTTAGTCCAATTTGTAAAGGCAAACCTTTAACAAAATCTTTGGAATGAAATAAATAAACATAGGTAGAGCGTAAAGTGAAGAATCTCTAATTCAATATAAATCACACAGAATACTTGAACATGTCATGGACTTTCAAAACATGCATGTGAAAATGGTAGTATAAGATGTTGATTGGAATCATATAACGGTTCAACATCAAACATAATAAATTTGAGACTAAAGCCAAAAAAAATATGTATTAGTTTTGTAATATGAAAATAATGTTAGCACTTAATAATCAACTTAAAATTATTAAAATTAAAATATACCATGAATAAAATATTGAAAAAAATTAAAAAAGTTCATAACAAAATAAAGCATGCTACAAGTATTTATATTGGCAGGGAACAGTTAATATTTCATATAAATTGTTACTTTCATAACGATATCAGGTGATGACACTTTACCATAGCAACAACTATCAACAACACACGCACATCTAGCTGACTATGTTGCTAGGAGTCTATTCAGCATAAGGTGAGCCACCTTTGTTCGGTGATTGTATTTTACCTGATTACCCTACATTATGAATAAAATGTCATTCAAACAAAGTAAAATATTAAAAAAATAAAAAGGCAGAAAGTAAACATTGGTAATTTTACTAAATTTTAAATTTCAATTTTGAGAGTTCTTGAAACAAATAGTGCTTCTGAGTGCAGCAGACAAATTGATCTCACACTACCGTTTAAAGGCTTTGCGGGTAGGTAAGTATAAACTGAGTCAAAACATTTTTCAGTTTAGCATAAACTTGAGTGAACACATTGTGCATTGTAATGAATAGCATATATTGTGTTCAGTGGGTTCACATAGAGGAATAAAAAGAATACAGCAGTCATGCCCACTATCATTTTTTTGGAAATACACCAAAACAAATTGAAATGCTGCTGGAAGCTAATTTTTGTTTACATATATATAAACGTATATTAAATATTGCAAGTGCTTCATAATAATATGCAAAGTTAATTGGTGTATTTGCAGTTCTAAATTTGAATAAAAAAAATAAATTAAATAATTTCTATTGGCTTGGTGGCCATTGAAGCACAAAAAATAATCTGGCCACATTATCTGTGAGAGAAATATCAACTTTATGGTATGAGTTTAAAGTGAATAACAAATATATAAATAATGAAAGTTGAAAGTTAATGAAATTAACAATCTAAAGACTGAATTAGATGGAGTGTTTACAAAATGGTTTATAGTTAAATATATCTATGTACTGAAACTTCTATTAGGGTTTCTCAAAATAATGGTCAGTAATAATTTGACTAAATCACTAAGAGTAGTATGTGTGGCTATATAAAATACATTTGACAGCTGATTTTAGATAACAAGTGGTTGATAATGACAGCATTTCACTTTATAAAGTAAGGAAACAGGTGAAGTGCAACCATAGATGGTTTAATGTTACAACTTGAATGAATATTTACACTACTTTAGAATTATTGCTGTAGCAGTGAAAAGCTTCAGGAAACACATAAGAGACATTAGATTTATGGCTTTAATTTAATTATTGCAAGACTAATATAATATTATATTGTAATTTTTTATTGTATAACTTCTGTCATGTATATGTACTCATGCAAGACGAATTAGGCCTGGGTAACTAAGATACAATCCAATTACCTCAAATAACTTCTCAAGGTAGACTATATAATACAATACGAATCTGTATGTTGTTCTGTTGTTCTGTTCTGAATGGGTAAGCATTCAAAGTAAAATGCTACTCAAAAAATAAACATTATTTATATTGTACTATACCCAGTGAAAAAAGCCAGTTATGTTGGTTTTATGACATTTTAACAAATGTTTATTATGGCACAGAAATGTCAAAATTTTGTTAGGTGTTACAGGTAAATAACAGATGGGAAAAAATAAATAAATATATATATGTATATGAAGACTAAGTTGCAAACATTCAGGGATATAAAGAACATGCACCTATAGTTTATGAATTTGATACAGCTTACACATTTTCTAAAGATTTTCATGAATGTACTTACTCAACATCCTCTTCCTCATCTTCTTCCTCCTCCTCATCTGTAACTGAATCAACTGAATCATCATCAGATTGGCCACTTTTATTGGCATTGCTGTCCGAGACATCACTGCCAGATGTTGCAGCATCAGAATCAGATGCACTTGGATCGGTGGAGGTGACAGTCCCTGTTGATGCCATCGTTACATTAATAGTGAGGAGGGACAGCGAATGGATTAAAGTTTGTTGGAATCAGCTGCTGAAGATCTTGTAATGTGTCATGCCCGGATTTGTAAAGAAACTGTAGTAAAAGATGAAATAAAACTGATGATTCGTATATTGCACAAATGGGAGTATCATTGCTATGTTTATTTTATCAATTGAACTCAATAATGTCGTTCTGACAAGCAGTTGTGGGAATTTTTTTTATGACTATATTTGAAACATGAAAACACAGTCACTCTCCTAGTAGAGTGACGAAACAAGTATATGTACTAGGGTATTGTGCTTTATATCATTTACATATTGTAAGTAAGAGTCTTTCTGGTTATTAGGGGTAACCATGTTGATCCAACATGGATTTGGCAATGCTGACATAGAGCAAGTTTGAGCATGCACAATTATTGACCTTACTGCTGAAACCTCCACTATGCTGAAAGGATTCAGCAGTACAGGTATTTTAGTCATTGAATTAATTAAAGCACTATAATTAACTGATTACTCTATTTAGATAGATGGGTGATATTTAGTTGAAATTACTTAATATTAAAAATTTATATACAACAACTGAAGGTATATAGAAATGTTATACCGGTAAATGACTGAGATGGAGTTGCTAAAACCTAAAACATTAGCAATGCAAATACACCAATTATTACCAATGTCATAAAAGTTCATGAAAGTCACTTGTAAAACCAATTGACTATGTCTTTGTCATAGTTTTATCTCATTAGTCAACAACTACAATAATGTGAAGACAGTATATGGGTGAGGGAAATAACATTCCAAACATGAACTTAGTAATAGTTTTACGAGGGTAGTTCGGATACAATAAATTGCTTTGAGAGGTATTATGATGGTTTCAACACCAAGGTTATTCTCATAGATTACATATACAACATACAAATTTATATAATGGTATGAAAACAAATTTATCTGCTTCTTTTAATCTCTCAAAGAACATTTTTATTACCTCAAGCAATTACCTTGAAGTGATGAAGGTCATGCCAATGTCATCAAATAATGAAAAATAAAAATCTTCTATTCTTACCAAGTATTTATTGACAATGACTGTCTACAAAGAAGCTGAGGCCATCAAAAAAACAAATAACTCAACACTCAATTTGATGTTTATCTACGTCATTCAATTATCCTAAAAGAATGGTGAGTAGAAGTGCTATAGTTGTTTAGATAGATGCCATCAGGTAGTCCACGGGTATTAGAACAGATATTCAGATTTCCATAATTTGATTTATGGTCACGCAACTACATTTCACAGAAAAAAATAGCCTAAAGACAGCGATGTTTGAGTCACTTAACATTGCTTCCTATGGTGAAACAATCTTGTAAGATATGAAAATATCATGTAGTAACATAAGATTGGTAATTCTGATTGTCACAAATAATTTGAAATACCCACGAACCTAAATCCTTTTTCTTCAAACTCTTGCATACCCAATTAAATTGAAAATTGTCTGCAAAGTTTGTTATAACCCAAGCCATCGTTATTTGTCAAAAGGAAGAAATTGTTATTTAGTTTTCACATCTAAATTGGAAAACAAAATCTGAACACTGCACAGTGACTGTAGTGATTAAATTGAACAGCATGTTTTGATATTTTTTTTACTCCATGTACTGTAAAGTACTTTATTTTGGCTGGAATTAATTTTCACTGAAAAGAATTTTTGGGTGTTTTGTATGGATTTTTATTACTGATTTCTGACGAGTTGAATGTAAAATATAAGGAAAAAGGTATATTCAATGTATTTTATTTTCACTGTATCATTCCTTGAGCAAAAATAGCACAAATTTATAGTAATACTCAAATGGTATATACTAAATGCTGATATATTTGCAAAATATATTTACATAAAGTAAGTAGCTGATAACAATAAAAATGCTTAAAAGAAAGCAGTTGTACTGTGTCATGTTTGATATGCAACACATGTAAACTACAATAAACAAACAACATGCAATGACCACTCAGTGATGTAGATAAAAGCCAGTACCCGAGTGGGCTAGTATACACTCATTGTGATCAGCTACAAATGTGTAGCATTTACAACACAATCAACTTGTAATCAGAGCTCTATTCTTTTAGTGTAACCAGTAAACAGAATAATTATCTACATCACTGACGCTGCCTTATAAGATAAAAATAAGAAGATAGAAATTATTTTCTGTTCAAACAAGTTTTAATTTTACAGTTGTGCAGTAGGTGTATACTACTCTACATGCTACCATTTATTCATTTGTTAACACTAGAGGTCATTTTAACAATAATAAATATGTGAACATAATATGATAGCCTCACCCTGATGTTTGTGATGTATATTATTTTCACAATTGATGCCATGTATCCTGCAGTCATATTCGTGAGTGAAAATACAGCATCACAGAATATATCTTTGAGTGCTTCAATTTAAGAAATGACACTCATAAACAAAAAATACCAGCTGCTTTATAATTAATATAACTTATTAAGATACCTTTTCTGTTTTGTTTTTTCTAACCATTTCTTGTTCTCCGTTTTTATTTGATTTTATTATTTTTTCACTAGGTCTTCATTTGTATTTTTCGTCTTGCCATTCTGTATGTATTTGAAACTTTATTGTATTTTAAAAATCCAGATCCTGAACAGGATATGATTTCAATAAAGGCATTACTTACTTTAAAAAGATGACAACAAGGTACAAATTAATTTAGCATAATATTCATTGTGAATAATTACGCATGATCCAAACCATCCAATTGAACAGCAAAGTGTTGATGAAGGCATGTATTACTGAGTGTACAAATCTTCAACTTAAACGCAGCCGCACCCCACAACATTACAAAAGTTAAAGAGATGGAGATCATTGGTGTTGTACATGCCATTGACAGTTATGTATGGTTGTTGAACGCACAATGCCAAAAGCTTACAGCAAGTCTCAGGTGTATTAGGGCAGCAAGTTAAGAAACTTGCTCACTAATTTGTTGACAACTTTGATTTTGACTAAGAAGATCTGACCATCGCAAAATACTTTGCATACTCTTCAGTCCTAGTAAAAACTTGAAAACTTGTTTAAAATATTTTTTTTAAACATTACTAGCACTCGATGGTGAAAGAATGAATGGTAATGGAATCCTTTTCATTGTGGGGGCACCCCTAATCTAGACTCTAATCCGATCCCTACCTTCCATCGCCCCCAAATTAATTGTATATGCAGGGAATAGTTGCAGTTATCAAGAAGGGCATATACTAGTACACAATCTTTCCCTTAACTAGTTGCCCCAATACTTCTGAGATTTGCTGTAAAGTTAGTTTCAGTAAAAGGAATTTTGTTTATCTAAAATGGATCAGTGGCTGATGGTAGTTGCAGAGTGGTTAACAGTAAAACAGCGTAAACATTAACAAATAATCCCGCCAAAGGCGACCGAAACCTAATACATGTATCAAGGAAATCTTTGGAAATTTAGATCCACAGGTTGTATTTCAAACTTGTCATGGCGTATACAATGTACAACGGATCAGATGTTCATTTTCTCCCGGTCTCCGATATCAACACATAGATATTTAATCTGAATGGATATTTGTGTGTAAATCATTAAAATAAAATAAAAACAATATAGTATCAGCTGCGATACGAATATGTTATGAATGACCACCGGCCGGACGGGTGGATTATAATTTAAATTTTAAATTGATCACCGTCGACGAACATCCAACATAACTTCGCAAGAGCGGCCACAACTTACCGGTCAAACTCTACTCCTACTAGACAAATATTCCTTAAGTTTAACATACGAGGAATACAGAATTGTAGAATAATCTTGTTAGAAGCTCTGGATGAGTAGATAATCCTGGCATTGATCTTGTAAACTAGAAAATATTATAAGTCAGTCCTTTTTTCAATGGCAACCAATTTGTTGTTACGGACGCTGTTGCGCATGCGTACAACTACGAAGGGATAAAATCACGCTGAGCTCAAGTCTCATGCTTGCCGAGATATCGTATACTACGCAATCATGGCTGCAAAAACAACGCTTCTGAAACGCTGCATTGTTGCACAATCTCACAGCAGACATACGGCAAGTCTGATATTCCTACATGGATCAGGTGATGATACCAAGAATCATGTATTAATTGTTTTGATAGTAATACACTTGGTTGGACCATGGAACCATATTTAGGGATCAACCATTTTAAATTGTGGGGGTGGCTTAAAGAATGTGACCAGGCATACGAACAGTGGCGTATCTGTACATTTTTATTCGAATGTGCCTTGCATGCAATTTTGTTCTTACTGTGTGTCCAGCTTGCACATTTCTTTTCAACAAATTTTCCGACGACCCCCAGGATTTTGAATAGTGGACCCATTAGTTCCATGATCCGGCTAAAAGAACCCATTGGAGTTAGTTCCAGCATGTGATTACTAAATTAGTGCTTTTTATTCAATGGTTACTGCCCCCTGATACTGAGCGAGTGATTAGAGGCGCTGTATCTAAAAAGTAACCGCGCAAGGGTTACCCGTAAATGGAACAATGGTAGTCTGCGGGAGAGTTCACACTAGCCATTTTTTATTTTTGATGATTTGATAATGCGCCTTCCGCGTTCGCATTATGTAAACCTTTGTTTTTTAATATTAACAGGCGATACCGGTGAGGGGGTAAGAGCATGGGTTAAAGATGTTTTGGGAACTGGAAAAGACCTGGTTTTCCCTCATGTCAGGATTACATACCCATCAGCCCCAGCCAGGTAAATCAGGTTTGAAAGCCACTCTTACAATGCATACCAGCAATTTTATTAATAATAAATTTTATTGATATAGTATTCTTTATAGGATCTTGAGTTAAATTACAATGAAGTGAGGATGAAATTAAAAAAAAATATATATATATAAGAGTGTCAACATACACTTGGTAAATTTGACTTGGCCCAAGAAGATCTTAAAAATAGAGCTATGAAAGCAGGCTTCAAAATGAAACGGTTATTATTCTCAGATACATACATACCCATAAAAACATATCTTAAAATGTTTGATACCATGATAAAACCAATACTTTTATACTGTGCAGAAATCTGGTCAGAACACCAAACACCAAAAGATGTATATGAATATCATGTCACCAATGGAACAATTACTCATGAAATACTAAAAATACTCGATACCTACTCAAAGTTAACAGCAAAGCGACCAATGTGGCATGTTTTTTAGAATTAGGAAGGTATCCATTAATCACAACAGGTATAAAACAGATGATCAAATACTGGTCGTGAATAAAAAAATGTCTGAAAATTCTTTTGTATATGGAGCATACAGTCTTGGATTAGAACTAGACAACTCTGGCACCTACAACTGGGTACCCGGTTTAAAACTTATACTTAAGGTAGAGATGCAATTAACCTGACAGGTATTTTAATTAGTTAATTAATAAACCAAGATGACCTCCCTTGTCCACAAAACTATATATTTTCGGAAAGCTTATTGTATGAATTTTAAAATTTTGTTAGTATTTTTTTTTTATGGACACTGTAGTTTGAAATATGCACAAAAATGTGCTTTTTTGGTCAAAAGTGATTTAAAAAACCATGCTTCTGTTTCCTGTCAAAATTGGTTTATGGGTACATCTGTTTTTTTTTGTTTTTTTTTTGATAAATATTTTTTATACCCATAAACAAAAAAATTACAGGACTTTATAAATACAGTAAATACAGTAATAAACAAAACAAAAAAGAAAACAAAACAAAACCAACAAATAATGAAGACAGATTACCATGTAACTACAATTGTATTAAAAAATGTAGATTGTAAATTGGAAGATGCACAAACCAACATTAGGTAAAGTTTCCCCACTTCACCTGAAACAATTCGATAGTGCTATTTTTACTACATATACAATATTCCATTTCTTTTGTCTCCATAACTTTTTTTTCTACCAGACGAAATGAAGTTGGAGTGCCATTTAATGTAATAATAAATAAATAATTTGTTTAGTTATAATAATGATATGGTTCAACAAACTTGAGAACTGATCATCGCCCAGCAAAATTTGAATATCTGTGAAAGTGTCTGGGGTATTTAAAAATTCACCGCATCTATTACATATTGATGTCCAAAGGACAGTAACATAGTTGCATGTAACGAATAAATGTGTTAGAGTTTCATCGCTATTATGACAAAAAAAACAAAGGCTAGAGGTGACGAGAGGAGGTCTCATACGGTGAAGCATAGTATTCGTAAATAAAACATTATGATTTAGTTTCCACTGGAATTCTTGGAGTTTTGTTTCAATGGTAACTCTAAATGGTAACTTGAAAATAATTTCCCACTTAATTTTATTTAGTTGAAACAACTGCTGAAAATAAGTTTTACATTTTGGTGGAATAAAATAAAGAGATGAAACAGCATTCCATATTATTTTACATGTTACCATATTCAA